GGATATGAGCTACGAAGACCTGCTTCTGGATCCAGATCGGGAGAGCATTGAGCAGGTAGGGAGGGAGGGAGGGAGGGAGGGAGAGAGGAAAGCCTTGTGTCTTGGTGAGCGCCCGACTGCTCTTGCTTACATAACTTTGAGGGGGGAAGATGCGGGGTATGAGGGGCTTGCGAAAGCATAGAATACCCTAGATACTCACGATTGGGTCCCTGTCCTCAGACGCTGACGGGCTTTTACACGGCTCGGATCGGCCTCCGCTTCCTGGTGGAGCACCACATCGTCAGCAACGACGCCCGGTACGGTCCCTGACAGCCGGTTCCCACCCTTGTCTTCTGCTTGTGGAGTCTTGGCCTCTGGTGCTCTCTGCACGTCTGTTTTCCTTTGCTTGTCGCTTTACCCTTCTTTGGTTGCCATCGCCTGCTCCCTCCCTCCCTCTAACATTCTCTCGCACTTCCCCGCTGTCGCTCCTCATTGTGTCCTTTCCCTCTTTTCTTTGTTATGCGCCCCATGTCCGCCACTCCTTTGTATTCCCTGCAACACGCTGCCTTTTCTCTTCTTCTCTCGCTCCGCTGAGTAAGCACCGTACTCTATCGGGGCTGAAGCGCGTTGCATGCCGACTCGCATGTCCTGCCTCCCTTCTCTCGCACTCGCTCCCTTCGAGCACCCTCAATCTAGCTCTATCTCTGTGGCACACGTGCCCTATTCATTCTGCCTTTTCCCCCTCCGCCATCCAGGGAGGGCTACTCCGGCATCATTGCTTCCCATTGCTCGCCTCGTCAGGTCGCAACCGCCGCGGCCGCGGACGCAGAACGGTCGGTGCCGCTTAGTTTTCCTTCCTTCTCCCACCACAGACCCTCCCTTTCACATGTTCTCTTTGCTTCTTCTTGAACCCTCTGTTTCCAGTCTACCAGTTGCCTTGTCGCCCGCCTTACCCTTTTTCATCCCTCTTTCCCGCACTTCCACAGCCTCTGCCGCGCCGCTTTAGGGAACGCCCCCACCGTTCGCACCATTGGCACCGACAAGGACGACTTCTGCTACGTTCCTTCCCATCTTTATTACATGATTGTGGAGACGCTGAAGGTGACCTTGCCTCCCTCTCCCCTCTCTTCCTCACCCCCCTTCGTTGTCTCTTCCTCTGCCGTTTTCCAAAGTAGCCTCGCTCTCTCCGTCTCCCCTTTTCCCTCACATCGATATATAGTTTTTTCCTTCCTCAAAGCTTTTTCTGTCTTCTCTCCCTCCTTCCCTCCCTTTCTCCGGCCTTTCCTTTGTCCCTCAGAACTCCTGCCGGGCCGTAGTGGAGAAACACGACCCCATCTATCGGGCAGCGGCACTGGAAGTATCTCCTTCCACTCTCCTCGACCAAAGAATAAGACTCGAGGCTCGCCAGAAGGTCGCTCCTCCTTTCCCGCGCCTCTCTCCCGTCGTTCCTTCCCTTGTGTTCCACTCAGGGCTACGGTGTAACCTCGCGCCCGCCCATTCCCTTCCTTCTAAGCCTTTCCCCTTTGCCGTGATATCCTTTGCGTCCCTCCTCCACCCCTGGTTCATCCCCTTGACAGGCCTTTGCGAGGGCGACGCCCGCAGAACTTCCTCCCGTGAAAGTGATCGTGGCCATGGGCGAGGAGGACGTCACCATCAAGGTTAGAACGAGGGAAGGGAGGGGAGAGGGTGTGCCTATTTGCGTATATGTTGGGGTCGGTCGACCTGGTGTTGGCTTAAGCGCATCTCCTCGGTCATTTTTTCCCCCCAGGAG